CAGCACTGTGGAGGCGAGCGTTGGTGGCTCACAACAATGGCATTTTTGAGCATGAAGGTGCCATAGCCTGGCTAGTCTGAAAGCAGTACAACAAATATGGACTTCACCTGTTCCATCTGTATGGGACAGAGTGTTGGCCCCTCTACACGTGGGGTTTCTCCCGGCGCTCCAGTTTGCTCCCATATGTAAACACACACTAATTGGCCAATAACACTTTTCCATATATGTGTGGTTCCTCCTCACGCCAGAGTCATTCTCTCTCTTCCAGAGTGAAAAAATACTGTGCTGCAGGCGCATTATAAGTGGAAATTACACATTGTATATAGGTTGTGATGCATGCGTAATCCATGACGGTTGCACGGTTCCCATGACCACACCTCACGCGACAAATGCGATTCATAAATAATGTTACGAGACCAAAACAACCAATTTTAATGAATTCATCCACGAATCGTTAAATCCTTGCAGTCGCTGCGCAAGCTCCACCTCGATGGGCCAGTCGCTCCGTTCCCCTTTGCTGCCTTCACTGCAGAGCGACCCCTGTCCCCCCCCCTGACCACTCACGTAAACATGTACAGCCACACGCTGAATTCCTACGAATGCCCATTGAAAAGGAGGAATGTTACAGTGTGGTTCAAGTTAAACAGTTATCCAGCACACATTGATATGAGCGGGAAAACAAAGGCTGCAAAAACTCGGATCCAGGAGAAAGATAGTTTAAAACAAACGGTCAGATGCAGCGAGTTCGCTAAACAAGTGGATGCATCTGTGAAAGGGACAAGTGGAAGACACAGCAGAGGACCGTGTACCTCGGACAGCTACTTAAGGCAGTTCGGGATCAAAATGATCAAGTGAAGAGGTGAACAAGAGTGGGTTTCATTGCCTTGGCGAAACAAATGTAAACCAAACTATATTATTTACCAGGTAAAACCCATTGAGTCATACGCTCTATTTCAGAAGCGACCTCGCCACAAAGGATAGCTCAACGAAGTGGCTTATTGTGTGGAAATGTACAGCAGCCAAACACTCTAAACGTGTGTTTCTAAATGTGGCGGGAAAAACCGGAGGACCTGGAGAAAAATCCACGCTACCATGGGGAGAACACGCAAACTCCAAATATATAGTAGTGGCGTCAATGCCAGGATCGAACCCACGTCCCTCCTGCATACCATGCGAGGGAGAAAATATCTTGCCACCGCGTAAAAGCAACGTGCCATTGTGCTAAATAACTTCGGTTTGCTTCCTGCTATGAATCAGACATTAACAGAGACGATGATGAATTTAAAAACGCGTGCAGATGCATCCAAGCAAAGAACACCGCATGGGTTCAAGAATATACGCAGGTGAATGATACCATTGCAAGTGGTAATAAAGTGGTCTCGGGCAGGAGACGCAGCGAGCAGGACCAGTGGCACGTGGTTTGAGTGTGTCGGCCACAGGAGGGATGGTGCACAAGAGAACGCGCACCTAGGAGATGGAGCGCGGGCGCTCGGTGGAACTTCACATTGCAGGATCTTTCGATGATGGTGCCCTTCATCCAGTAGTGGATTGATCATGGTGGACGATTAAAGTGACCGCAATGTCTAAAAATAGCATTGGAAAGCCCAAACGTGGACGTGCGCCTGTGTTGGAACGCTTTGAAAGCCAGTGCCAATTAGTGCATTCATTTTTGTAACTTGCACGGGATTAGATTATCGACTTTATGACTTCGGAAACCAATAACCGAGTTATACAGTGACAATGAGCTTACCGATAAGAGATTAACGTCCCTCATCACCATCGCATTGCAACAAGTGAACAGGATATTTCCCAACAGCGTTGGCAATATTTAACAAAAAGAACCATTATCTCCATGGAAAAAAGGCATACTCCCACAATTGCACCACAACACAAGATTGTATGTTAACAGCCGCAATTGCAGAGTGGTTAAATCAGCTCTTCCAGGATCACGTCGGTGGTATCTGGTGCCTGTTATCACAAGGAACAAAGTGAGGAAGGCCACAAGGGGGGTAATTAAGGGCCGATAGGAGCCGTGGCTTTCTGCTGCATGGCGGATAACACTGGTCAACACACTTTTTCTGGCATAAGGTATTCCAACGGGTTTAAGGTAATTTTGGGGTGCTGATTCCAAATCTGGCATCAGTTTTTGTCTATCACAGGTTTTTCAGATATCAAATATTGCATTTTCAATAAAAACTGCAAAAGAAAAATATTAAATAAATGTGGATATCTACATAAAATGATATTATAAACACACTATCCTAAAAATACAGCACCATATTTTAACACTAAAGCAGTCACTGACTCACAATAAGTTGCAATCATAAGCGACAGAGTTAATTTCGGGTAAAATCAATGAAAATGGGGAATGCCGATAGCATACAAATGAGATGTGATAGAGCAAATCTGAGATCAGATTTGGAATCAGCACCCTGAAATTAGTCTAAAACAGCTGCAAAAGTCCAGGCCAGAAAAACATGTTTGTTTTTTGTTGACCAGTGTAATGCGAGGCCCTGACGGGAGCCCGAATTGGAACGTGAGCAGTGTCCGTGTTGGAGATGTGGAGCACGCCGAGTGCATTAAAGAGCACGCTGAGGAGCAGGACACTGAGGAGCAACAGAGGAGCACACACAGACAGGGCCACGCGGCTCGTGTGAGCTGCAAGGCCCCCCCAGGTGGTGAGGGCTGCCCCCACTGCGACTGGACACGCGTGGGGCCCTCTCCACCTCCTCTCCATTCTCCTCTCTACGCAGGACAATTCACGGATATCGCCCTCTCCCGTGCCTCGAGTATTTTTAGATCTTCCTCTCTCTCTGTCACACCTCCCAAAGTCTCGGCGTGTAAGATCTACAATACTCTTTGGTTATTTCGGTAAAGTCACGTTGGTAGAAAATAAATTAAATCAATTGTTTCTTGCTGTGGTTGTCCCACCTGATGACGGACGCTTGTGTTGCGCCCGAAACGTCGTGATTTATTTTAATGTATTTTCTTTTTACGTGACTTTACCGAAAGAGCCAAAGAGTATGGATCCCTGCAGTCACGAAAACTTAAGATTCTCTCCCCCCCTTCCCCCACGCTGCACTCTCCAATCTCTGAAAAGCGCGACGTTGACGCTGATTTGAAGATTTCGTGACTGCAGGAATTACTCTTTGGTTCTTTCGGTAAAGTCACGTAAAAATAAAATACATTAAGTAATAGAGTACGATGTTTCGATTGCAACACAAGCAACCGTCATCAGGTAGAACTACATTTGAGAGAGACAAAACACAGACACGGAGACACACAGACAGACAAGCAGAGAGAGACAACACAGAGACACACAGAGAGAGACACACAACATAGACACACAAGCAGAGAGAGACAGAGAGACACACAGAGAGACACACAACATAGACACACAGAGAGAGACACACAACATAGACACACAGACAGACATACAAGCAGAGAGAGACAACACAGAGACACACAGAGAGACACACAACATAGACACACAGAGAGAGACACAAGATAGACACACAGAGAGAGACACAACATAGACACACAGAGAGAGACACACAACATGGACAATGTGTCTATGCTGATATAAAAAAAAACATTACAACTCCTTAAGAGGGAGACTACAGCCTGGACACTGATCTCTGAAAAGTCAATAACCAAGTCGCAAGGACATCGTCTCTGAAAGTAGCAGCAGTTCACTGCTTTGTATTTACGAATGGATGCAGTCGCTTGTACGAGACTGTAACAACCACAACAGCTGCAGTATTACATTGCAAACTAATCACAGTGGTTGCCGAGCACGAGGTGAATGATGGTGGTGGTGGTTTGGTTGATGATGGTTGTGGTTTGGTTGATGATTGTGGTTTGGTTGATGATGGTTGTGGTGGTGATGATGGTATTAGTGACGGTGGTGATTCGTGTGGTTGGTGGTGATGGAAGCGATGTTGGTGGTAATGATGGTGGTTGGTGGTGATAGTCGTGATGGTAGTGGTAGTGATGGTAATGATGGTGGTGGTGATGGTGGTGGCGATGGTAGTGGTAGTGCTGGTGGTGGTGATAATGGTGGTGGTGGTGATTGGTGGTGATAGTCGTGGTGGTGATGGTGGTTGGTGGTTCGTGGTGGTGGTGATTGTGGTGGTGATGGTGATTGTCGTGGTGGTGGTTGTTGGTGATGGTGGTGATGGTGATTGTCGTGGTGGTGGTGGTGGTTGTTGGTGGTGACGGTGATGGTGGTGGACCTCAGCACGTTTCTCGGCGTCACCCGCGGCTCTGACCCCGGCGTTCGCTGCGCGCTCCCCTCGCACGCGGCGCCGCTGTGAGGCGGAGGGAGGAGAGCACGGAGCGAGTCGCCCTCAGCGCGAACCACGCGGTGAGCAGCCTGCGAAGTCGCCCTCACCGCGTGTGAGTGGTGGTGAGGTGGTGAGCAGCCTGCGAAGTCGCCCTCACCGCGTGTGAGTGGTGGTGAGGTGGTGAGTCGCCCTCACCACGTGTGAGTGGTGGTGGTGAGGAGGTGGTGAGTCGCCCTCACAGCGTGTGAGTGGTGGTGGTGAGAAAGAGGCTGAGTCACCCTCACCGCGTGTGAGTGGTGGTGGTGAGCAGCCTGCGAAGTCGCCCTCACCGCGCGTGAGTGGTGGTGGTGAGGAGGTTGAGTCGCACTCACCGCGTGTGAGTGGTGGTGGTGGTGAGGAGGCTGAGTGAGTGTGTGTGGTGGTGGTGGTGAGGAGGCTGAGTCGCCCTCACCACGTGTGAGTGGTGGTGGTGAGGAGGTGGTGAGTCACCCTCACCGCGTGTGGTGATGGTGGTGGTGAGGCTGTGAGTCGCCCTCACCGCGTGTGAGTGGTGGTGGTGAGGAGGCTGTGAGTCGCCCTCACCGCGTGTGTGGTGGTGGTGGTGAGGCTGTGAGTCGCCCTCACTACGTGTGAGTGGTGGTGGTGTTGAGGCTGAGTGAGTGTGTGTGGTGGTGGTGGTGAGGTGGTGGTGAGGTGGTGGTGAGTCGCACTCACCGTGTGAGTGGTGGTGGTGGTGAGGAGGCTGGGTGTGTTGGTGTTGAGGCTGCGAGCGCCGTGAGCGCCCTCAGGATCGAGCCGACGGCAGCCGCGGCGCTCACCGAGAGCACGGGGCGGAGTGACGTCACTCCGCGCGTGTGTACACCGACCTGGGTGACGTCACTCCGCGCGTGTGTACACCGACCTGGGTGACGTCACTCTGTGTGTCGACCTCCGACCTGGGTGACGTCACTCCGCGCGTGTGTACACCGACCTGAGTGACGTCACTCTGTGTGTACACTGACCTGGGTGACGTCACTCCGTGTGTGCACCACCGACCTGGGTGACGTCACTACGTGCGTGTGTACACCACCCTGGGTGACGTCACTCCGTGTGTACACCGACCTGGGTGACGTCCCTCCGTTGTGCATCACCGACCTGGGTGACGTCACTCCTTGCGTGTGTACTTGAACTTGTGTACACCGACCTGGGTGACGTCACTCCGTGTGTGCACCACCGACCTGGGTGACGTCACTCCGTGTAAGCACCACCGACCTAGGTGACGTCACTCCGTGTAAGCACCACCGACCTGGGTGACGTCACTCCGCGCGTGTGTACACGACCTGGGTGACGTCACTCCGTGTAAGCACCACCAACCTGAGTGACGTCACTCCGCGTGTGTACACCGACCTGGGTGACGTCAGCCTCAGGTCGGTGGTGCACACGCGCGAAGTGACGTCACTCGCGTGTTACGTGCAACATGCGTGACGTCACTGCAGTGATATTCCTCTTTCTTTTAAATAATATCCACGATAATTGATATAGTCTGCTTTTAAAAAAAACGGTATATGGTATTCACCGTTGTTATTGTTATTTTGCTTGAATTGTTTTTATTTCCTGACAAACTTTTTTTTTATGGCGGTATACCCGGGGTACCAAATAAAACAAAATTTCAGTTTCATGTATTAGGTATAACCCCGTGAGCCATGCGGATCTTGACTCGGGTGCAACCGCAACAAAATAAAACCATGAAACATCTTAAAGTGACTACACGCAACAGAAAAATTGCCGAGGCAATTAAATATTTTCTTTCTGGAACACTTCCAGGGGAGTTACTTAACTCCGAGACTGGGGTACCAATCAATCCGAAATCAGTGCTCCTCCGCGATGTCGAAACGCCAAACATTAGCATAACAAATACGTTATAAAAAAATCTACTTTGAATAGTGCATCGTGTAACAGCTCGTCGAGATGAGTCGATTGCCGCATCGCCGACCAGCTGGAAGGATCTGTGGGCCATGGAAGCGAGGCGGTTGAGCTTTTCCATCAGAGCAACATATGACATCCTTCCAACACCAGTTAATCTTCACCAATGGTATGGTGAAGATCCGGATTGTGCCCTCTGTTCCATGCCAGCCAACCTCAGGCACATTCTCACAGGGTGTAAAACAAGCCTCACCCAAGGACGCTACACTTGGCGTCACAACCAAGTCCTTAAAAACCTTGCGTCCGCCCTGGAGGACAAGCGAGCTGCCACCAACTCCCTACCACCCCCAGCAGCATCACACCCCTTACGGACGACCTTTGTCCGCGAAGGGGCTAAACCACCAAAGAGCGGCTCTACACCAATAGAGCGAGACCAGCTGCGCTTGGCCCGTGACTGGAAAATGCTAGCTGACATTGGCCGGCAACTTGTGTTTCCTCTGGAGATCGCAACCACCACCCTAAGACCTGACATGGTGCTCTGGTCCCGTTCGCTCAAGACGGTCTTCATCATTGAGCTCACAGTACCCTGGGAGGACCCAGTAGATGAGGCTTATGAGCGAAAACATCTGCGCTATGCCGATCTAGCTGCCGAAGCACAGCATCATGGCTGGAACACAGAAGTCCGACCAGTTGAGGTGGGCTGCAGAGGTTTTGTGGCAACATCTACAACCAGACTGCTTAGAGACCTGGGAATAAAGGGCCAGAGCCAGCGTTCGGCAATCAGAGCTGTATCGGAGGCGGCAGAAGGCAGCAGTTAGTGGCTCTGGATGAAGAGGAAAGACCCCAGCTGGGCCCCAAAGTGAGAGGGCCAGGAGGTATGCAGTCAACAATGCTTGACTCAGGGAGGAGGACACCCCTGCCATGCATAGTCCCATGGGATGTTGGCTATCAACAACAAGGCAACTCCTATGACTAATTGGGAATGGGATGCAAGCGTAGGATTGATTACCCTGTCGTTGGCCGCCTTTGGGGAGGGTGTACAGTATGAAAGGCCGAAACACCCTAGGAACCAAAGGTTCACTACTGACGATGCGCTCCCCAAATTTCACCAGGCTCACTGTTCATGAACTCTTGGAAGTGCTTGCACAAAGGATAGTAACATCTCATCCTGTGTTCTTTGGAATCTGAATATCTGGACTTGTCCAGTGACTGCTGAGAAAGATCAGCTGACAACAGGGGAAAGTCCTTGTGGCGGCACGGAGAGACGGCTGACAGGAGAGAATAGACCCCACTGGGTCAGTCATGAGTTAGCTTCCCATTTCTGTAGTTTCCCATGCTTCGCAGTATGTTGGAAACACCCGATTTAGCTACAGAAAGTCAACATACGAGAATACCCCTAGAGTCTGCGAGAGCGGGGGCGGAAGATGACTCATCGACTGACAACATGGTAACGACTGGACCGGAAACGACTACGAGTAATGAGAGCACAGCACAAGAGAACACCACAGCAACTGTCACAAGTTCCGCTGCAACAGCAGGCCACAAACAGATGCAGGTATGTGTCTGTGGTTGGAGGAAAGTTACATCACACCATGGGTTGAGGATCCACCAGGGGAAGAAGGGGTGTTTGGGTAAAGAGAGACAGAGGCCTCGCATTGATTACTTTCTGCGAAAGCGATCAAATCAGTCGAATGAAGCACAGCAACTGGACGCAAACCATAGTTTGCAGTGCATCAGTACCACTGTCATGGAGGACGTAAACTCAAGCACCGAAGTAACAACTGAGGTGGAACCAACAACAGGAGTGGAACTCACCCAGCCTCCCAGACCTGCAGTCGAGAGGAGACTACCAGGGCACAGACCGTATGTGAAGTGGCCTGGCGCCAGTGACAAGAAGTTGTGGGAAACAGTGAATACTGACCTTACCTTGACCCTCGAGAAACTTCGAGGCACAGTGGAGAAGAAGTTGGAGAGGATGGGGGACATCATCTATGAGTACGGGGCAGAAAGCTTTGGAGTGCAAGAGGCAAAAGGCGGGAGAAAGGTTCCAACCCCACCAGTTTCCAGGAGGCAACAAGAAATCAAGCGCCTCGTTCAAGAAAGGAGACAGCTTAAGAAACAGTGGAAGAAAGCCTCGGAAGTGGAAAAGGAGGGCATAGAGGCACTTCAGGCTGACATCAAAACCCGGTTGGCATCCCTCCGTAGAGCAGAGAACCTACGGAAGCGCAGAAGGAAGAAAGAACAAACTAGAACTCGATTATATAAAGATCCCTTCAAGTTCTTTAAAAGTCTCTTCACGAAGGAAAAAAGTGGAGTTCTAAAAACAACAAAGAAAGACCTAGAAGAGCACCTGAGAACAACAAACTTTGACTCAAAGCAACATAAACATCTGGCCATCCCATCAGATATCCCACCCATTGAACCCCCGGAACATCATATTGAGACCAGCCCTCCGACATGGAAAGAGGTGGAAAACACAGTTCGAAGGGCAAGAACAGCATCAGCCCCGGGGCCAAATGGAGTCCCGTACAAAGTGTATAAGAACGCACCAGACGTCCTGAGGTACCTCTGGAGGCTTATGAGAACAGCTTGGCAGAAGAAGATAATACCCAAAGTGTGGCGTAGGGCAGGCGGGGTCCTGATCCCTAAGGAGAAGGATGCAGTGAACATCAGCCAATTCCGCCCAATCTCCTTACTGAATGTCGAGGGTAAAATCTTCTTTAGGGTCATTGCCCAGAGGATGGCCGAGTACCTGCAAAGGAATGCGTACGTCGATACATCTGTACAGAAGGCAGGAATATCAGGGTTCTCTGGCTGCTTGGAACATTCCAGCATGATCTGGCACCAGATCCAAATGGCCAAGGTGGAGAAAAGGGACCTCCATGTAGTCTTCCTCGACCTCGCCAATGCATTTGGCTTTGTGCCCCATGAACTCCTGTGGTCTGCCTTCAGATTTTTCCACATACCGGACACCATCACAACCCTGGTGAAGTCGTACTTTCAGGATCTGCAGTTCTGCTTCACCACCTCAGAGTTCACCACCTCATGGCAATGCCTGAATGTAGGTATAATGGCGAGATGTACCATTTCTCCATTGGCATTCATAATGGCAATGGAGGTTATCATCAGATCCTCAAAATGGGTTGCTGGTGGACAGCGAGTCGACTCTGGTTTTCGCCTCCCTCCACTCAGAGCCTACATGGACGACATTACAACATTGACCACCACTGTCCCATGCACCAGGAGACTGCTTAGAAAACTCGAGGAGAACATCAGCTGGGCCCGTATGAAGATTAAACCATCCAAGTCACGCAGCATCTCGATTGTGAAGGGAGTACTCTGTGACCTGAAATTCTTCATGATGACCAAATCCCAAAAGTGTCTGGGTACGAGCCAATCGGTGATTGGCTCGTTAAAAACTGGGTGGAAGCAGGTTGACCTGCGGCAGGGTTCTTCACTATTTTTGGAAGGGAGGGAGGGGGCACTTTCGCCAATAAGACATCAGCGTGAGGGCCAGCCACACATTTGAAACCATTGGGTTTGACAGCTTGATGGGTTGTGTTTACATGTATTTAACACGTAGGCTTTTGCGACCAACAGGTGGACTTCTCCACAAATATGGCTGTTGCCTGATGAAGCTAGTTTTAATTACTGGCGAAACGTCGTACTGAGATTGTAAATGTTGTGGCTTGGCTCTCCAACACACCGGTGAGCTGTACTAGTGAGGAATTGGCATGTTCTGTTTACGTGACAACCCTTACTGGTTGGCTGTTGCGTGGTGGCGGGTTTAATGACACATTTATATATTTACGCGATCTAACCCAAAAAACCTATTCTGGATGTTGTTTATTGTCAGGGGCTGCACGTCAGGGGATGCGCTAAAGGCCACCAGGGGTCGACAGTGGCCCGCGGGCCTTGCAATGAAGAACACTGACCT